GTGCCTTTTATATTATTCACCTATCTCGCAATAGGCGTTTAGTTAAATAACCGAGCATTTGACTATGTTTCACCCATGGGCATTTATATCAACATTCCCGATTTGACCTTATTACGCCCACAACATGTGTATATATTTATAGTGGTCGTTTTTTTCAAATACGGATCGTAGTTGAAAAAAAAATATAACATTATTTCTCCAACATAATTCGGTCTCACAAGACATAGCCTACAGGCTACGTTACCACTGCCACAACCGAGTTTTGTTAGCTATATTATAACGGATGACATCAAGCCGCAAATGACTATGGCGGCGGTTGCTATTGGATACCGGCCCCGTTTTCGGTGCGCACGAATCAATAAGACGTCGTCCGTGCCCGTACCGTGTGGAACATGATAATAATAATAATATTAACGATATTACTTCTTCCGAATCATTACAACTCCACAACCACTAATTTCTAGACGCAAAAACTATCATCCATGAACTTATTTCGAACCAATTGCAATACCTGTAGTCAACACCAAACTCAACGGAATTAAGACTACCATAGGATTCAATATTCTAAAGTCGACATAACATCATAATACATAATTTATAGAGCCGTTGGCCTGTTGTAAATCAGAAAAATGAGACATGTACTAAACAGGCACTTATGTACAATTTACAAATCATTATATTTTTGGACTGGTTTAATGTCCACCTCCACCCACGTTGATCGACACTTAAGTAAAATGAGTCACCGAGTAGGCCATTTCATAACAGCTTGACGATTACTCTACACATGAAAAAATTGAAATTGTGGAACTGACCGAGAATACAGAAACATCATAGACAACTAGGAAATATTTGGAAGCCCAATGCGAAGCACCGGTTCTCGACCTTGGCACGCCACAAAAAAAAATCATCTAGTAAGTCAGGTAAATAAAACTCCATGGATTGATTAAATAGTTCATGCAAATGTATTCTGACATAGTTATTTCATACAGTTGAGGTTTAGTTAATCAAGAAAAAATAAAAATATTACTGATACTATTATTGTAATGTCTGAATGCAATCACGTCGATGCGCGTGCGTGCAAAGTCCGGGCCCGGAGATCGAGTAAGCGCGCATGCGTACGACTCTAGGGCCAACAATCACGTCGATGCGCGTGCGTGCAAAGTCCGGGCCCGGAGATCGCGTAAGCGCGCATGCGTACGACTCTAGGGCCGACAATCACGTCGATGCGCGTGCGTGCAAAGTCCGGGCCCGGAGAACGCGTAAACGCGTATGCATACGAATCTAGGGCCGTCAATCATGTCGATGCGCGTGCGTGTAAAGTCCGGGCCCGGAGATCGAGTAAACGCGCATGCATACGACTCTAGGGCCGTCAATCCCGTCGATGCGCGTGCGTGCAAAGTCCGGCCCGTGCGTTCGTGTCAACGCGTATGCCTGCGACCCCCAGGCCGGATGATTATTCCCACGCGCGTGCATGCGACTGTAAGGCTGGCAATCGCATAAACGCGCATGCGTACGACTCTATGGCCGACATTCACGTCGATGCGCGTGCGTGCAAAGTCCGGGCAGTGCGATCGTTACAACGCGCATGCGTGAGACGTCCGGGCCGGGAGATAGCTCCCACGAGCGTGC